CAGTCGGCAAATTTAAATTTTCGCCAGTGCTGTGGCGCTTCAATCTTTGGCTATGTCTTGGGCTACTCAAATATTTTACGTTTTTGATACTAAATTAACATCTGAAGTATATTTTTTGTTGTTTTTATATTTTTCAACATATTTATTTTGTTTGTACAAAATAAAAAATAATTTTTAACGATACAATAGTCTTTGCTAGGCTTAACATCGACGAAAATTCAACGCGAAGCGACACGCAACGGAGAAAAATTTCGACATCGGATACGTTAAACTATTTTTTCGTACGTAAATCAGTTATCCGAAATATCAGTTATCCGGACAACCCCAGTCCCCAATTGATTCGGAAAATCGACGCTCTACTGTATTAGTGTTAGTAAAGTAGTGAGTAAGTAATTAGTAGTAGTCTAGTAGTTAGTTATTATTATCACAATTATGAATGATATACATTCGTATCATCATATATCTAAGATACTGATACTCATTAATTTAATTAACTATTTAACGAACTAGGTAGTCTCAGTGTCTCACTAATTTTAACAATAAAATTGCCTAGCCTAGCCCACTACCCACTTATAGAATAAAAGTTTAAAACTCTTACTTAACAGAATTAGAAGTTATAAAATATTAGTCTTGTCTCGAATAAAGTATTTTAAAGGATTAAATAAAATTAAATCAATCACTTCTGTTATTTTATTTTATTTTAGTTTATTGAATTTTCTGGAAGTTGGGTCTCAAGAAAGAAATGGTATTGATGGTGTTGTCTCCCAACCTACTTCTTAATGAACCGCATATATATCCCGCTGCAGAGAAGGCCCTTTCAGCCTCTACACTAGTTGGTTTCAGGGTCATCAAATAATTATAAATCAAAGATAAGTTTTCACTTCTGACTCCCTCACTTTCATAAACAGCCATTTCCTTTTTTAATAACTTATCATAATCCTTCTCAGTACTAGTTTCTTTCCGTTTCATGAAGTTTTCTTTCTCACGCTTTAGTTGGATCACCAATTCTTGTTCCAAGGTGAAATTCAGGGAATGAATGCGGGTTATCTGTATCATCGTTTTCCACCTCCATAATTTCCTCTGCCATTGCTGCTGGTTCCGTTACATATGTATTTACTCGATTCAGCATATTTTTCATCTCCTGGCGCATTACATTTTTTTCGGTATTGTGAAAGAATAATCGGGCTTTCTAACTTTTTGGTCATAGTTTTTTGGGTTCTGTATGTAAATCAGCATCCCCGTGACCTCGGTAAGACGCCTTCTCTGATTCTTTTGCGTCCCGGCTTTTTAGTTTGTCTAAGATAAATTTCAGGGTTGTGTCAGTAGTTATCAAACTCGACTTTCTTCTACAGAGAGCTTTTACGGCCAGTTTATAGGTTAGGTTTCGTGGACAAGCCGCGAGGTTGCAGCTCTCCATAGGCTTAAACTGAGATCGTTTCGTCACATGATTCATTGACGTCACAACGGACCGTAAATTAGAATTATGCACCAGGACTAGGAGAGGAGTTAATTATTTTATTTAGCGCGAAAACATTTTATTTAGCGAGAGCGGAAAGTCAACTGGCAATTAGATCGGCAGAGGTAAAAGGGCGGGCGGTGCGGTGTAGAGAGGGGGTGTAGCACGTGCCACACTGAACGGCAACGTCGCCCTCGCCGCCGAGCGATAGCGCACGTAGAAACACGGCAACACCCATAACGTAGACTTTTGCGCCATTATTTAGAAAGTTAATTGAGTATTTGCGGATCCGCAGCGCTGGATCCAGCACCTGATGCTGGATCTAGCAGGACGAAGAATATGCTGGATCCAGCTGGATTGCTGGATGAGGGATCCAGCAATTGCAATCCCTAAACGTAACGAGCGGAAATTACAAGCGTGTAGAGTCTAGACTCTAGACTAGACTCTTTCCCAACGTGGGGCCCACTCCCCACAGGGGACAATTCGAAAATGGACTTGTTCATAGTTTAAGTTAACCGTATAGCCGTTTTATATGTTGGGGGGACGTAAGAATTTTAGAAAGTCTTAGGTGAGACATAGCGCTTTATCAACATTCTACGCTGTACTTAACAGATTTGTAATGGCGGGTTAACTCACGCGTATTATATTTACCCGTAAATAGCGGACACCGTAAATAACGGAGCCGCGGACCGTAACCGAGCTTACGAAAACGTAAAGTCCCGCCTGGGATATTCCTAAATAATTTATTACGTACGCAATATTTTAAAAGAAAGATCGAGTTCAAATACTCTTTCGGACTAATTTCGATCGTAGGACGAAGAAGCCGAAAACGGGAATGGGAAGGAGAGCGGGCGGTAAAAAGCCGAACGATACTGTTTATCTGTTAGAGAAGGCTAATCCGCTTAAGTTATCAATCATCCCTATCCCCATACGCATTAATGTTATTAAAAGTCTGTCTTATTCTTGGAATAAAGCTTACGGTACGAAGAAACCGTAAACTTTACCCGAGTTATTCGTTCGTTCGATAACCATCGTAGTACAGTAGTAACCGGAAATACTTAACCGCCGGTAACCGTTTTACGCTGTGGAAGTTCAAAGGTGGTGTTGCCCGGGCCATTCGCGGCCACTTTAAAGCGCGAGATATTCGGTATTCCGGCATCTACCGGGTCATTTAACAGCCGTCCGGTGGTTCGAATATTATTTTTTAAAAATCATTTATCGAAAATGTCGGAAAAATGACACCTACTCAAAAAGTACAGATTTTTATTAAAGCCTTAAACCGTAAATGATAATATAAACGAGCTGGTTTCCCGTCCCTGGGTAAATGGACACCGCCTAAACCCGTCTTCGTTCGTCCTTCCGTTATTTCCGCCCGGGTGGTTTTTCGTTAATTAATAATTAATCGATGCCGAGTATTTACGTTTTGTAGTAGTTTTTACGTTCCGATCTATTGGCTATTTAGAATTGGATGGAGATTTTTACAGCCCGAAAGATAAACGTACCGTATACTATTAGATAACGTAAGCTACTGTACCGTATATATACCGGTATTTTAATTAAGTTTATATACGCTACGTACACCGTCCCCGACGGAACGAACTATGCCGATATCGGGAACATAAATACTGTATTAAGAAAACATTTTTGTCATACGTAGGTAACGCGACTCGCGCTTCGTTTTTGTCGCCGCCGGTATCGTCGTCGTGCGCGATACGCCCGTTTGAACTTCGTCTGCGACTATATTTTAAATCGCGCTCGTATTTAACCTATAACGAGTTCCTCGGCGTCGACGGTGGGATAAACGACGATCGGCGCGTTAGTTTCGCTCTTCGATGGGGCGAAAAGGCCGACGTGGCGTAGGCGCCACGGTGCGGGGAAATTGACTTTAATACTCGCTGGGGGTGTAACGCGGCTGCGAAAATTAGGTGGCGGGCGGCGCGATCCGAGCGAATCTTCCAACGGAGGAGCCGTCCGAGGGAACCGACGGCCTCGACGTACGGTAGCGAGGATTAAATGGACGAGGCACTAAGTAGTTGGAAGATCTTCCGATAAGAGAAAAGAAGAGGCGTAATCTACACCCGGAGCAAATTCCGAGTTTTAAAGTCCGTCGCGTAATTCGTCCCTTAACTTTACCCACGTCTTCGTAATTAAATACGCCGGTTAGGCCGTCGACGGTGGCCAATGACGCGCGGAGTAAAGGTGGAGGGAGGCGCGCCCGGCCGCGTTTCCGAAAATCCGCGCCGGGTCAAACGGGAGCCGGGAGCTTTTTCTCGTTTATTTACTTTAGCAGAAAACGAGGAGAAGTCGGCCGATTTTAATTGATACGGGAACGAAGGAAAAAGCCTGCCTACCCCAAGGGGTTGTAATTCGAGCCTTTTCTACGAAACTGGGAGCGTCTCTTTCCCGGGCGGATCGACGTCGACCCGCGTTAATATCCGGTTAGGGCCGATCTGCCCGAAAATCGAGTCGTGGGGAGGCTTTTAACCTCCCGCCGGGAGTGGTCCACCTCGCGGCTGGACTTCCGCCGCACCCCGCGTAATTCTGGCAAAGAAGGGGACGATTGTGGGGTCGGAATCCGTCCGCGCGCCCGTCGCCAGTCCGGCCGAAGGCGTATCCGTATTTGCGCTTTGGGTCGGCCGCGTACATAAATTAGGGATGACGTATTTCGGTGGAAGTAGAAGCTGCCGCGCCAGAACGGGTCGGGTCGTTGCCACTTCGGGTGGAATGCAGAAGGAGAGGTCGAAAGGACGCCTCTGCCACTGACCACCGGGTTACTCTCGCTCCTTATAAGCGGCCCGGACGGGCGCCGCTCTTCTGTTACCTGCCAGATGCCTTCTCTCGTCCTACTCTTCCTGTTCGCGGCCGGCCCCGCCGCCGCTCAGCGTGAGTATTCTCGCTCCTCGGCTTCCTTCTTTTGCCTCAACCTCCATTTACCCCGTCTTTTGCAGACGACTGCGGCGTGCCTCACGTCTTTATCAGTAAGATCATCGGAGGCAGGAGCACCGCTTACGGCGAAGTTCCTTGGCAAGTAAGCCACAGACTCTTTCTTTCCGCCCCAATTCGCAATTTGATCGAATACTTCGGCCGGCGGCGGACGAGGACCCCCGAACTCTATCGCCCGGTCGTCGGACCTCTCGTTCTCGGTCGCGTCGCCAACTAGCGGGAAGCGACGACGTTCGCCCCCAACGCTCCAATCTTCGGTTATATCCGGGCCGACCGCGGCGCCTCCGCTCGTGATACGGAAAACCGCCATTGGACGGACGCTCGGTTTTAGCCACTTTTCCCCCAATCCCAAATAAGTATACGGATATTCTTTAAAACGTTATAAATGTATCGATAATTAAATGGAAAGCGGGACGATCGACTCTCGGACCGGCGCTTCGAAACTTTTTGTCGGGCGGGTCGACGGCCGCCGGAAACCGGAAATAAGTAATACCGGCGCGTCGGTCTGGGTTTTCCGCTAGTTCGAACGTTACGCCCTTTGCCTGGAAATTAAATTTAAATAACGGTTTCGCGCCTCCCGTCGTACGTCGCGGCCCTAAATCCTCAACCGCCGGCGCCCGAGTCTCCGTCCGGTTAATCGAAACCACGTTTACGTATTAAAAGGCCTCCCTGAGTCTGAAGCATCCCACTTTCGGCCGGATTCCGCACTTCTGCGGCGGCGTGCTGATCAACACCCGGTGGATCCTGACTGCCGCCCACTGCATCAAAAGGTAAAGTCGAGCGCGTTTTTCTGGGGGCTTTTTCTCTGCCGGTGTAATGAGCCAACGCCGCTTTCAGCCCCAACGGCCCGTCGCTGCTGGACCCCGCCTACTGGACGGTCAGGTTGGGAGAACAGAACCTGAACGCCCCCGACAGCGACGAGAAGAGTTACTCGGTGGAGCGGGTGGTCCATCATCCGGGATTCAACAACTACAACAACGACATCGGCATGATGAAGCTGAAGGTCCCCGTCGTCCTCAACAACCACGTCATGCCCGTCTGTCTTCCCTCGGCCGACGCCGACTTCGTGGGCGAATTCTGCACCACTTCCGGATGGGGAAAGGTGGATCCCAGTGAGTGCCTAACTTCCTACGGATAATCGGGTTTTTTTCGGCCTCCGATGGTAAGAAAAGGCTTTTTTGCAGGATCGAAAGTGGTGGACGCCCTGCAGATCGTTCGGATCGAGGTGTTCGACAACTCCAAGTGCGACATTTACACCAAGAGGTTTCTCATTCCCATCGGTAACCGACACGCCTGCGCCGGGACGCTGGAAGGGGGCAAGGGAACCTGCCAGGTGAATGCGCCGCGGTGGGAGGCGGTGGCCGGGACCGACGGGTAAGCTAACCGAATATTTGTTTTTTAGGGAGATTCGGGGGGACCCCTGATGTGCCGAAGAAACGACAAATACTATTTGCTGGGACTGACGTCGTTCGGATCTAACTGCGTCAAACCGGAATTTCCGGACGTCTACACCAACGTCAAGGCCCACTTGAACTGGATTAAGGCCGTGGTCGCTCGATATCCGTAACTCTTTCTTTTTGTCTTTCGTTTTATTAATCGTCCGGCAACGGGTAAAGGCGGGTGTAGCCGCTGGATCCAATAAATTATTATTTTACGTTTTCGCTTGGTAATTAAAAAGAACGCGGAACCGGAAACCGGACATTTATTTAACAATATTTTTTCGGAATTTAAGAAAACGTCGCGGTGGTTCCGGGAATGGAATTCGATCACCCGCCTCCGTTCCGACCCGGTAGTAATACGGAAAGAAATGCCTCGGACGGTGTCCGCGCCACGTCCCCAAAGTTTAGTACTCGCCCGCGGGAATTACCCCGCGATTGAAAATATACGGGGCAACCGCGGTAGGGGAAGGAATTAAACTTTCTAAGCTGGTTTACGGCCTGGCGACGAAGAAGAAAGCCGCGAAAGCATGGCGTTACGTAATTAAACCATTCGTTATTGAAGGCGGTACGCTTTTTTTGCCGCGCTCACCTTCGGCCGCGGACGGAGTCGGAAATTTTCCACGCGGTATTCCGTCGGCTCGGAAGACAAAAGTGACGTCGCCCGTTTCCGCCCGGGTATCGGGCTTAAGCCGCCAACGCTAGGAATTCCGGGAATAACTAAGGATTTGATAGAAATGGACGTTTTGAAGAAAAGTAGAGCCACCAATTTCTTTCTCGAAAGGCATACGTAACCATCTTAAAAGGAATCTTCGTAAAAAATATTAAATTTTCTTTAAAACTATTCTCGGAGGGGCGGAAACAATTTTCCGTAATTAAAGGGGCGAAGGTACAAAGACTGGCCAGCGCCTAAGTCCCGAGAAAAAAAGTAAATGCTTCGTCGCGTTATACATTAAGGGAGAAAGAAATTCGCGCAGAGTGAAAAGTTTCCCAGGAACAAACCACGACGTCTTTGTTTCCCGGCAATTTAACGAAAGAAACCTTTGTTTTTCTACTTCGGTATAACGTTAAATTTACCAAAACCTTTGGCCGATTAACCGCTCCTGTTACTTTCCCGCGCGTAAAACGATATAACGCCAGAAAGTGTGGCGGCCGGTGGAATTTTTCACCCTCCCCCGGCCCGAAATTAAAAACCATTTCTCCTTACGATACTCCGTACGCCCCGGGCGCGCCCGTTTCGCGTTTTGTCTCTCCACCATCCAAAAATTTTGAAATTTGGCGGGATCGTTTCCGTAAAAGTCGGCCGTTAAACGTCGAGGGGTGGGAAGACGGCTTTCCACCCTTCGACTTTTAATCGCTTCCGTATAGAGAAGAGACTGGGGTGGCGCTTAACGGAAATTTTACGGGTTATCGGCGTTTACGGTATTTTTTAAAAACTCGCCTCTATCCGAAACGAAGCTTTTTGTCATTTTATAATAATTAATCGTTCTCGGCTGTTATATATAACGGAGGAGAGGTGTGACCTTTGGTCAAAAAATGATCCCCGAGATTTTTATATTTTTGGACTCGGGAATCTCGAAACGCCCGGAAATGCGGATGAATTTGGAGATTTACTTCTGTCTGTATGGATATTTGTGTGTATGTGTGGAGCACGATTTTCTTCACCCAAGTCGAAGTCTCCCGCGCCTTTGGTGGAAAATTTGCCAAGTTTGGCAGGGAGGTAGGCGTATTAGGGGACGGGTGCCAATGAAACAGAACTTACCTTATATAAATCTACAACGGCGAATAAAAGCGCAAAATAATTAGCAATAAAACTGTTACCACCTATTATTGACTTACAATTAAATTTTCTACTTATCCGTTTGTACCGAAACGTCGACGGCGTAAGCGTATAGAGAAGGGATTAATATACCAAATAAAAAACTAAATTATAATAAGAATCGGAGGCCGATAATACGGTTAATTTACCAATAACCAAAAGAGTATCGGTGCGGAAGGAAGCCCGGAAGGAATCCAAACCACCCTCTCCAATACTTTTTCTTTTCTAACGGAGTTAAAATATCAGATTTGCATAAACTTGTAAAATAGAAAATTACTTTTATTTTAAACTCTGATTTTTTTAAAACAACGGCGCGTCTGTTATACAACACAGTCAAAACATTGTCGACGTTGGAGAAAATATTTTTACTTTCGTCTGATCAATCCCGAATATTTTAAAATTGCGTTTTTTCATTACAACGTTTATTACCAAATACAATTGGCGCGCTTCTCCCGGTATCTTTCCGAGAAAACGGAAACTCTTTTACGCGGTGTGACAGTAAAATTGTACAAATAACCCTTAAATTCTATGTCGAACTTCATCCCCCGTTCCGTCCGTCTGCGGGCGAATTCAAAAGCGGCCAACGTCGACGTCGATACTTTCCACTAACCGCTAATAGAAATTTTTCACCAACTTTTCATATATACGCATATTTATTCTTAATTAGGCTATTCTTTGGCTAATTTAACCTGTTTCGTTGAAATTTAGTTGTAATTAGTATTAGATGTATGTACAGTACAGTACAGTACTACTGTATAGCCTACATATACAATGAATCCACTTAAAGAGGGGTAAGCCGTTAGGCGCTTCCTGCGGGAAACCAAACCCTCCAACCCAGTCTACGAATAACGCTATTCGAACCGCCGTAACACTTTCTCTTAAACTTATCCAAAAGCTTGTATCGTCGGCCAAATCCGTCGTCGCCCTTCCGCCCTTCGCCCAAGTTTTAAATAAATGCAGCAACCGCGTTATGGCGCTGGGCGGCCAAATCTTTCGGACAATTAATTGCGAAGATCTCGAGTTTTAAATTCGCGTCTTCTTTGGCCGCCTTTCGGCTAAAAGCCGGAAAGAAGTGTAAATTAGCCAGCGACTACCCAAAATACTGTATTACCAACGGAGCGGGTGTGTCGACGCGCATCTGACGCGTCGTCGTTCGCTGTTTTTTTATTCCGTACGGAAGTATTTAAAAAGAAAAAAAACGTAGGTAAGGTTGGGCGCGTTGTTCGATTAGCCACCGATTACTTACCGGAGTTTCTTATCTTACGCATCCCGGGCTGCAGCAGTTCCCGGAGGAGGAATTCGACTACTATCGACTGTCAAAATCTTCCTTTGGGGAATTACTAGACAAGATCAAACCCGGACTCATTCGGAAGGACAGTAAGACGAGAACGACGATAACATCCGACGACACTAACTTTAACACCCAGGTGAGTAAAACCCGTCTTTGGAAGGTAGATGCTTTGGATTTAAAGAATTAAAAATCATCGTATTCATTCCGTAATCGATAGGATTATCGCGGTACACTACCCGTTTAATGTCCGGCTCTATATAACTGCCGCCATTCGACGGTATATTGTAATCGAGGCCGTTTGGTGGAAACGGACCACCGGTAACGGCACCTTACGGAAACCACGCACCCCGCCGGTAAATGTAACGCGCTATCCGTAGTTCCACTCTATTGCCTACGTACCCCCATTCCCAAGCACCTTTTTGTAATTATCATCGCATTTAACTCTTGTATTTGTATTTGTTCCGTAACCATAAAGCATTTCGCACTGTACGGTACAGTACATACATAACGCGCCATAACTATTTGTACGCTTTCTCTTTCTAAAACCTGTACGTGTATTAGACTATTCTATTTAAATTATCTCTCATGCTGGCGCTGACGGTCTGTCCCATTTTCGCCATCTTTCCTATCACACTTTCGCCCCACCTTATTCATTCCCACCTCTATCGTCTCCTTTTTAACTCCAGGCGATACCCGCGAGTAGTCCCGGGCTTTAATTATAAAATGTATCGATTACGGTGTTATACCGAAGAGCGGCGAGAAATCGAAATGCATTTATAAAAAAGCCGCATAAAGTAATGGTTTCGAAATACGGTCGAACCCGGCTTTTCCAATACGATTTGTTCCTAAAAGTCGTTCGAAACCGAAACAAAATTTCCGATAAGAACAATATAAAATGAAATAAATATTATTTGCTTATTAAGAAAGGAAAATGTAGGAAAACGATTTAAGATCAATTTCCTTCCCACCCGGTGGCTGTTTTAAACTCGTCCATACAAAATCCAACCTCCAGTTATCCAGGCCCGCGTTTACCGAGAAAATTTTCCACGCCGTATTAGCTCCGATTGCCGTACGATATCTCGGTTTTCGAACCAGTTGCCGGGCCCGGCCGGCCTCCCATTATCCCTTCCCTTTACTCTCTGTCTTAAACAAAAGCCACCCATCTACCAGTTAGTGGCCACGCCACCAATCGTCGACGACGTCGCTATTCCAATTACATTTCCGCGCCCGTGCCAGCCAGATAATATTTCCGTTTTTACGCAGGCGCCGCAGTCGAATTCGAATCAAAGCGAATAAAAATCGCCCGAACATCGACGTAATACGAATGGCATTGGAGAACTGGCGTTTAAACGCGTTTAAGTTAAATTAAATGGCAAAAATATATTGATTTTTAATGTTTATTAATACGAGGTAGCTAGCTAATTAAACTAAAAATAAAAGAAAATTATAATTAAAATTGAAATCAAATACACGGAAGCGCAATATTTGGGGAGGCGTGGACAAAGTACTTGTCGGTCTAGGTAGATTCTGTTATATTTCACGCGGACAGTGGGAGTTCGGTCCCTATTTACAACGGTTCTTCGTCAGGGGTTGGTTTCGGTTTCGGTGACCGAACGTTTTGCTTTTAATAGACTACAGTAGATCTCCTATAAAACGGGTTCATATAATACGAATTCGTATAATACGGCGAAAAAATTGCCACCGTATTCGTATAAACACGCTAAAAGAGACTGGCGTGATACGGTAAAACGTCATCGCCGACTCGTGTGGCGGCGGGATCGGTCGAATGTAGACTGTAATTGTCGGCACGTCGTCTCTAGGCCACGTGCCGACAATTGGCCTAGAGACGACGCCGACGTCGGCCCGGACGGTACCGGCCCTAGAGCCGACCCGTTCCGTTGGTACATTTTCTAAACCGCACCGGCTCGTTTCTCAGCGGAACGGCGCGTCCGGGCGGGGGCGGATCCGCGTAGGGACTAATAGGGCTTAAGCCCGTACCCCGAGTGTCCGGGGCCCACAAAAATTCAATTATCGTCATAAATTTT